CAGTTTGGCGAGCTCTTTCGTACATGAAAAATGTATCGGAAGCGGTCAATCGTCTACTCACCCCACTTGGAGTTGGATTTGCACACAGGCCAAAAGAAACTATCAGGCGCCGAATCATGAGACCGAAAGACCCACTGTCACGGCAGGAAACGGCAGGAGTCGTTTACTGGTGCTAGTGCAGTTGTGGACAAAAAAACTACGTCGGAGAAACCGGAAGATTACTCCGGAAACGAATAGCCGAGCATGCAGCGGCGGTGAGGAAGAAAGGCGCCAAATCACAAATTGCAGCTCACTCGACGAGACCCGGCCATATTTTAAAGTTTAACGAGGCCGAAATCCTCGCAGGAGGTGACAACCGCGTGGGCCGCTAGCTGCTCGAGTCATGGTTCTCAGGCCCCCAGTCAACCAACAAGCGCAACTATTTGGCGTTCCCATATTGTGCACTGAAACATTGCTTGAGCAAGAGAATCAGTCACGTGGGAAGGGCCGGACCCAGAAACAACAACAACTCGGACGACGGCGAGGATAATTGTAGCGCAATTACCAAGCCCGCATCCAACACGGACGAGGAAATCACGGCAAATAATGAGTCGAACGCGAAGTGTCAAGCCAGGAACACACCAATTAAGACCCAAGCGGTAGCTACAGAAGTGGATAATTATCGTACGCACGGAGATGACCACTATGAACCATAAATACCGAGCAACCTGTGCATGTTTCAACCCTATCTCTTCTTGACTACGACTTTGATACCATTACCTATGATTAAAGATCCCCGATGGAATCCGAAACTTCAGGACAATGATCGCTTCTTCTTCTGAACTGCTTCCTGGAACTCGCATATTCACTTCTACTGGCAAGATCCTTATTCATATGTACTGGAAAGTTTCCTGTAAATGCGTACCCAAATAAGTTTAGTTATATTTACAGTCTGGTTAAGAATATCTGACACTTGAGTAAGTCTCGGATCCCACTTGACATTGACAGTGCTATAGAAACAAAACCATAGGGAAAAGAGCGACGAGGAAAATAAGAGGAAGCAAGACGAGAAGCGGAGTGTAGGGGTAATAAAACTTGCCACTTACTTATGACAGTATTTACCGAGCACGCGTCAGCAGGCTTCACGCAGCGAGCTCAGCACACCACGATGACAGTGCAGTTGGCCGCTGGTTGACGCGAATTAATTCTAACCATTTTCACGCCAGTCCCGCAGACCGAAAACTCCGGGGTCACAAAGACAGCCGTCGCTGTTTGCTCTCGGTTTCATTTAGCTGATGCCAAAAGGACATAGAAACGTATCCCTAGGCGAGCACTCCTACGTCATCAATAGACCTGTTTACAAAGTGTTTGCCAAACCACCAACTCATGTATTTTCTAATGGCAGTGTTGAGTGCTCTTCAAATTCATGGAAATATTCACAGATCCCTGCTGAGAACGCTGGTGCTCTTTATCGTACTTTTCTAGCACACGTCAACTGGTGGTGTTCCGTCTTGCGGAAATATGCACGGCATCCGCAGTTTAATATATTCTCACAAGGCGCCCCTTGATCCTGACTTTATTTTGCAAAGTTGAGTCTGTGAGCAACAATAAAGCAACATTCTTCTTTTTTAATTACGTTACCACTTATTAAACGTTCTAGTTATCATAAGGTAGTCAATCATTGCGCCCGTCAATCAAGTTATCTCGAGGGGGGATTGCAGGGCGTCTACAGACCCCTTCTCAATATCCCGGATGCGCCATCGATAATTTCCAGAGCTAGGACTGTTTTTTGTTTTCTACAACTTATAACTCGGCACGCTTCTAACGGAAAACCATATCAAGAGAAAATTTTCAGTGTAGAATGTTTCTAAGACGTTCACCATCAGGAATCACGATTTTTTTAGTTTGAACGAAATTCGTGCGTTCGTCCATGCGCTAAAAGTGTGTCCGTCGTTGCGGGCGACGTCCAGTGGGTGCCCCACAAAATGATGAGCGCAGGAACGCGGACTTGCACAGCATCTACCACACCCAAGTCCCCTCCTCCCATCTGGGCCTGGTATCATGACCATGTCAAGAAGACAAGATGCGGGGGGGTACAGGTAGCTGGTGCCGCGGGAGCGTACACCAAGGCGTGCCACCACACGCATCGGCGTGTGGCATTTTTTATGGGTACGCATCCCCAATAATATCTCCGGTATCCGGCACATTTACCTCGTTGACCGTCTTAGGCCCATTTCGATCTACTACCGCGACAAAATCTAATGTACTACATACGTAACACGCCGACAATGTTGGATCTCTATAAATAGTTTACTTTAATGTAATAAGTAGGTTGTTATATATAATTTATTGGCTGAACTAGACTTGGTCGTGTTTAATACTGGAGCTCTAAGGCAAAACGAAATGCTCTAACGCGCACTGAATAGAGGCTAGATCGGTAAACACCATTCTCCCATGAATGTGAATATTACAGATTGCAGCCAGCAAAGAGTGAGGCCATGGCTCAGTGACCGATTAAAGTCAGGTTCAAATGTTCTGCCTTCCTGGCCTGCAGTTAGGCAATGGCTTGCTGACAATGACCATTAAGCCTTTTAATGATCACTGAAGTCTACGTCACAGTTCTAGTAGTATTTGTCATTTTAAAGTGGAAATAATTTTGAGGAGAAGTGTTTCAGACAGGACTGAATGCAGGAAAACAGGGCTATGCAATCCTTATAATCCTTGAATTCCTTATATTATTTCGGGATACGTTTTATTGCTGAAGGAAAATGCACGCCTTAAATAATGTACCAAAAGTAACATAAAATCGATGACATTCTGGATCACTGTGGAGTTAATTTAAGAATGGGTGCGCTAAGTTTAACGTAGACCCTTCTAAAATTAGAAGTGAGTTTGTTTTTCACTTGAATTTACAGTATTCCAGTAGATGTAGGCGGGAATCCAGTTTAAGAACAAAGCAAAGATCACGAGATTGACAGGAAAACAATGTTTCAAGGTTTCAATCTATTTTATGTTCCAAATTTTTTCTTAAACCGCTGTTCAATATCAAAACAACTTTGGTTACCAAACTTTTTCACTTCAAATTATCCG